CACTTTAGTGAAATTTTCAAACTTCTCCAAGCTTGGTTTTCTGCTTTCAGAACTTAATTTTTTTTTCGCTATCTTTGTTAGTGCTAGTTCAGAAACAGCGACCATTTTTGTTTTCGCCCTGATTTGACCAAATTTTTACACTATATTATCACCTGTGTTGGCAATTAATCACTGGCTTTGACGCATCACCGTTGCACCCAGAAGAAGTGCAATGGGGAGATCATGATATCTCGTCCACGTCTTTCTGTAACAGAACGATGTAGGGCATGTCAAATTTATGATTCAGCTCAAGTTGATCAGGCATGGTCGAAAAGGTCTGTACCTTAGCCTTGAAATCAAAATAGGATTTTAGATTTTTCGATGGTAATGTAAACAATTAAAAATGACTGACAATCAGTTGAATCGGGGTTTAAAGTCAAGAAAGGACATAATTTACAATAATTTTATTTTTCTTTCAAGATTTTTTTTTGCCCACCACAGTGTTCTTGTACAAAATTTTAAAAAAGAGGGTTGTGTTCATTGTGGGCACTGCCTTCGAAATTGCCATTACTGTTACGAGCAGAACTCAAAATCCAACGAAATATGAAAATAAGGAATAGCAATTTGAGGTTAAGAATCAGATACGGTCGTTTTTAAGGTAAATTGTTGTTGTGGATCTCTGCAACCGGCTAACTGGATCTGAGATACTGGCTAACTGAATATCTGCAACTGGCTAACTGGATGTGTGACATTGGCTAACTGGATTTCTGGCACTGGCTATCACCAACACGCACGGCTGTAAGAAAACTAGTTTATGGCGGGTTGGCACGATAATGGCTACATTTCAATGGAGCTCACGTGGAGTGAAGTCCAACCCTAGCTTAGTATTATAACGATGTATCCGCTGCTAAATAATTTACATGATGCCAAGCAGGGTAGGTGACCATACGTGCAAAAACAAAGAGAGACTGGAACGTGTGAACGGACGAATTTTATCGAACTGTGTAGTCTGTTCACACGTTCCAGTCTATCGTCCAGTTTTCTTTCGATCGGGGAGATTCCTCGTCCTAAAGATTCTCGTGGCCAAAAGGTACGGTGTTTGCCTTTCTTTCTAATAGGTCCTAGATTCGAAACTTGACAGCGACAGAAAACATTTTCTTCTCTAAAATGTTCTCTTTTCATCTTCTTTCCTGTTCTCTAGACGTTCTGGCATCTGCTTTCATCTCCACTTCCTCTCATTCCCTACTACATAGCTCCCCCCCCCCTCGGCCTTCGGGCTGCTCTTTCCTTCACTCCTGACTCTTTCTATGTGTACTGCTCCCCCAGGCTCCTTCTATGCACCTGCCAGCCACCTACCTTGTAAATTTTAACTACTATTAATAACTAGCAGAGCAGTGTCTTTACAAAAGGATGGTCTTACAGTACATGCACCTTGTTCTGTAAGTAATTTCAGTATGGTAGGAATAAAGTTTGAGTCTCGCCTGGGTGGCGGCGGAAGCCTTCTCTTATCGATTTTAGGACCACCAATTAGGGGGGAGGGTAACAGAAAGGGGAGATGAAAACAGATAACAGAACATAGTTACAGAGCAGAAAGGGAGGTGAAAGGAGAACATGCTTTCAGTTAGAAGAAAACATTCCGTGGCTGTAAGGTTTCGAGCCAGGGACCTAATGAATGAGAGGCGAACATTGTACCTTTACACCACAAGAGCCCCGCCCTCACCCCCTCCCCTGTACATTATAAAACAGTGTCTTTAGAAAAGGGTGGCCATACTGTACCTTGTTGTATGTGGAAATAGAAGCTTGACCTGACTGCAGATGTGCAACGCAGCAAATGACCCTAATACATGTACCCAACTTCACCATTGACGATCAATCAAATAATAAATAGCTAAAATTTACATAATATCGCTTCAAATCAGGTTCTTCGCCAGCTAGCTTGCTTATTTTGAGACGCTAATTACGTATATTAAATCAGTTTTTAGTATTTACATGCAATAATTCTTTAAAATATTTTGCACCCTACGTTAAATCCTCCGCGGCGGCACATTTTCAAGTGATTCTACGTCACATTTCTTATATCAGGCCTTTTGTGAAATCATAAAGGCTATGAATATTTATTTCTTCTTCTCTTGTTTTTAACAGTCAATGTGTTGTTAAACAAAGTAATTACCGCGGAGACAATAGGGGAACTGGAATATGGCTACATAAACGGATGAACTGACAGGGGGCGCAGAAAGAGGGTATTTCCAGATCATCAGTCACAGATTGTCAGTATAAGTTGGCTTTACCTAGGCTATTACTATTATATTATATCTTTATACTTGTAGGTGAATGTTTGTGACAATTTTCATTTTGATGAAAGTTTGTTGGGAGGGGGGGGGGGGGTTGGCCTCCTCTTAGCAAGAGTGTAATTGGCTTCTGGGCCATTTTGATGGAATATTTTGTTTGTTTTGAATCATCATCATCATCATCATCATCATCATCATCATCATCATCATCATCATCATCATCATCATCATCAATGCCTTTCACCCCTGGCAGGGTATAGGCCACTTACAAGCTCCTTCCGTTTATCTCTGTCTTTGGCCATCCTTCCAAGCTTGTTCCAAGTGAGCTTCATCTCTCTCAAGTAACCTTCCACGCATCTCCTCCATGTTTCCCGTGGCGAACCCCTGCCTCCTTGTGGGTTCCACTGCAGTGACTGCCTTGTGATGTTTCCGCTGGGCTTTCTTAAGGTGTGTCCCATCAATCGCCACTTTCTTTGTCCTATTTTTACTTCTATATCCTTTTGTCCTGTCCTTTCCCACAGCTCTTCATTTCTTATTTTATCCTGCCACATAATTCTTAGAATACTCCTCATACGTCTGTTGATGAAATTCTGGACTTTATTCAGTACTGTCTTCGTTGTCTTCCAAGTTTCGCAGCCGTAGAGGAGCACAGACCTGACGTTGGGGTTAAAGAGTCGAATCTTGTTGTTTTGAATTATAGTTTTGTCAGTTCAAATATACACATAACAAATTCAAATGCCGCATAGAAAGACCAAATTACACCTAACAAATCCAAACATATAAATGACTTTATAAAAAGTCTTAAATCAAATGCCACATAGCAATTTCAAATGTAAAATTGGAAAAAAAAGAGGCTAAATGTATATTAATAAGAAGTGTAAGAAGTAAAAGGGTTTGGAGTGTTTTTTGCCTAGAACAAGTTTGATGTAAGCCGTGTGGTGCCACAAGGAAGAAATTACGTGAGGCAAAACTAGATCTAATAGTTAAATTTTTTTAACCCGAAAATAAACCCACATGTTTAAACAGAAACGAATGGTTATGATAAACATCATCAAATTGCTGGTGTATATAACTCACTGAATGAAATGTAAAGCCAAGTTTACTTTTATTTACTTATTGTTGCACTACAAAATGCTATGGCATATAGACTTGCATTGATCTTAAGACTGCTTCCATTTACACTAAAGTCAAAGCTTGGGTTTTTTGTTCCATCAACTGGGCAAGTGTTACCATCTTTTGTCGGTGAGTCTGCTGAGTGATCATTTAGTCTCTTCCTTCAGCGAACATATGTTTCAAATCGTATTCCCCCAAAAATACAGTTTCAATGGTGACATGGTATAGCTGTTAAGTTATTTAAGAGGCGGGACCTCCGAGCCAACGTCTATATCCGAAAAGACCGACCCAAACGGGAGATTCGTGTAAAGTACCTTTCCCAAGGACACAACGCCGGACCGAATTGAGGCTCGAACCCCCGAACCCGAATCTCACGATTACAGGTCCGATAACCTTACCACTATCCTACCCACACCACTAAATCGTATTTTCAAATTAAGAAACTTTTTCACAGATGGTAAGACAGTTGGCAAGAATTTCACCTCGAGTCCATTTGATGAAACGAAACTTAAATGAAGCTAAAAATAAACAAAGAAAATGAAAATGACAAGAAACCTGTTTAAACAAAAAAAGAATGGTTATGATAACACAAGCGTTCTCGTTGATGTTACGAAAATGTGTGTGTGTGGGGGGGGGGGGGAGATATTTTACCCCGAGTCTATTGATGAGTTACCATAATTTAAAGCTTGCCTTTATACACGAGCGTTGTTACATACCAAGCATACTTCGTTGTGGGGATTGTTGGGACAGTTTCTTAGAGGAATGGGTTGAAAAGATAGCTGGCATTCCCTCTACTTGAAAGTCGTGAAAGACAAGGTTACCCTCGACATTGACAGCAAATGTCATCGTGCGGTTCGGTCCCCCCCCCCCCCCCGACCCTGCACTACTCGAACAAAGCATTTTCCACTCCGTGTTCTTCCTCGGTTTATCTTCGTCAACAGCTTGATACTAGCTTCATCGATGAACACAAACTCATACCGCTAAATGTTCTACATCAGTCATGCTGCATATTGATGCCTGCTTGCTTTAGTCCCGATCAGAATTTCTTTCCGCGGGGGCATCCTCGGGATGTTTTTTTAATTTGATCAATTCACCCTAAAGGGATTCCGCTTATGGTTGTCGTCAACTCAGTTTGAGCATATTAAAAATGCTTCTCACTCTGAATAATCTTTGTGGAATATATTTTTGCTTTTGCTATGTGGCATTTGATCTTGCTATTGTGTTACATTCGGATTTGCTATTTGTACATTTGAACTTGTTATGCACAATCGTGCCCTAAAATTCCCATTCAACATTTGAATTTTCTGTGGCGTGAAACTTTCTATGTGGCATTTGAACTTGCTATGTGGCGTTTGTATTTCTTATGTGTACATTTGATCGGAAAAAACCTATATAATATGATATATATTTTTTTCAAAGGAGCGTGATCATTTAACTATCAACGTATGCACCAATGACCCCTGACTGAAGATTGTTTGTTTTCGTAGCAATGCTCGTTTATGTATGAGCTGTCTCTAAACATAGATTTGAAAAACCCAACAACTTTCACGAAGCACACAAATATACCATATTAAAATGTATTTATTTCAGTTGCTGTATGCACATGGATTATTGTTTCAATCAAACGCAATAGAAAAATTTAATGTTACAGCGCTTACGTGTAATTCCTCTTTATATAACACTTTTAGGTAGTAATCTGCTGCAGAGACGAAAATGGCTTATTTGAAAAAGTCGGATCGACAGTAAAGTCAAAACAATTCTTAGATCATCTACAGGGGCAAGGCTGACTCGTTTGACAGGGTATTCAAAGTGGGACAAAGAACCAGATACTGAGATACGGCCACACACGAAAGGTTCCCAAACAAAGAGCGAGAACATAATTAACAAAACCTCTTATTCAAAGTGGTATTACTAAAATGTGAATGAAAACAAATCCTGAATGCATGTTTTCTGTTGACTCAGTCAATAGGACTGCGACGATGTTCCCAAATTAAGGAAGGGAAGGAGTGGTTATTTTATAATCAACATAGGCATATTTGCCGTTCTGTTGTTAATAACACATTTATAGTAATGGAATAAACAGAAACAAGGGTCAATCAACATTTTGAATATTTCCATTCCGTGTTTTTGAAAGGCTTAAAAAATAACGGCAACACTTTGTCAAACTAAACAGAAGGAAAAATATTGGATACGATCAGATGACAAACACCAGAAATGTTCTAATACATTTTTTAATCATCAAAACTTTTATTTGAAATACTTTAACTTTAAACACAGAAAAAAGTTCAAAAGATATGTAGAATCAATACGGAGTTGTCAAATTAAAGAGACCAGGCAATAATCTAATGATGTAACAGTTCTAACTAGTCTAAAGAATAAGTCATGAAACGTTCATGACAAATCGGAACAACAATTCCATATCATACCGTCGCCTTCATGTGGCAGGAAATGTAAACTTTTGCCCTCCATAATATGAATCATGTTGATTACTAGTTCGGGTTTCCAACAAATATGAGGCCGGTACTGGGTCGCTGTGACTCATTCAGAACCCCCCCCCCCCCCCCCCCCCCACACGTTTAGCTTATTTTCGGAATGTGGACATAAAATTTAACTTATAGTGACATACCCGTTCGGCAGTGCGATAGTGGTTCTGTCTCCACTAAGATCGCCTAAGGAAATGGACTTTGAGCGGGCGATTTTTTTAAAGAGGAGAGAGAGGATTGAAAGAAACGCAATGTAACAATGATGGTCATAAAATAGTATTTCAATATTATTGCATGGTCACAGTTCCCGTAGAACCCGTTGTTGTAATTTAATCCCATTATAAATAATGATGCATAGTATTATTAATATTAACAAACTTAGTAGTTGTATGATTCTAGTTGCTTGTCATTACATATCAACGATTACTTGTATATTGCACAGTTACCATGCCTTGAATATGTGCTTTGCTCTGATTATAATAAACGCACGAAGTCGTGGGTCGTCTGTTTCTTGTGGGATTTGCACTACCTGTTGCAAATGTACGCATCCCGAGTCTGGTTCCACACAAGCGTAAAGCTGTAGTGTAAAGTGTGGGGACGCACATCCCCCCCCCCCTTAACCCTACCTGCAACGACAGCCCGTGACTATCATGTCCTCTTGTTCGGAAGATTCCAGCTCATCGTCTGGGTTTTTGTAAAGCAAAGCTAAAGGATTGTACCCGGTCGCAGCACAGACGGGTGCTGGGATGAAACCAGGGTTATTAGCGTGAAGATCGCCCTTGATCTGGGAGAATGTAGTCGCTGGCTTGTATTTTGCTGGGCAGTCCCCTTGGCAAAAGAAGGCGTGGAACCCCTCGGGTGATACGACCCAGTCGTCCCAACCGATGTCCGTGAAGGAGATGTAGATGGTGTGACGACAGCACAGCTTGTCACTGCACTCATCGCTGGGAGCACTGCGGCGTTCCCGGGATGGCTGTCTCAGGTCGCGAAATCCATGTGTCACTTCCAGTGATGCATCAACGTCTATTCTGTGGGACTGTTGTCCTAAATCGTACTGCTGTTTCCGCTGTGGTTGTTGTTGTTGTTGATCAGAGCGTCCTGGAATCAGAGTTTTGCTCATCTGTGTCCAAAATATTTCTTGAGAGACTGGTCCAGGACTTGGCGTCTCATGACCAGGAATAAGATGTTGAAAAACACAAGCCTTATCAGAATTCATGGTGTCCTTTTCAGAGTTTGAAAATTTGCTTTCATTATCACTGGAAGACGCTGCTCTTGGTGTCTGTTGATGGTTCCCGGAGCTATGTTCTGCGAACATATCAACTGTCTCAGAGGAGCCATGTGGAGCTGTGTTAACCTCCTGTATTGTCAGTCCGATGTTAGTTGTTCGATGGTTGCCTTCAAAGTCTGGAATGCTTAGAGACAGCAGAGACGTCACGTCTAAAGATACATTCTGCTCGTTCGTGTCCTGGAAGATAAATGATTTCAACAGGGTCCCAGGGTCACCCTCTACGGCACGGATGCCACTTTCACTGTTGTTGAGCCAATAAATGTTCACGCGCAGCTGAGACGTCAGAGAGGTCTGGCCGTGCTGTTGTAGACGCCATTTTCGTTGACGCAGGCGAATGTGCAAGGTGGCAGATGTGATGAACAGTTCGTGGAAAGGTTTAGCTGGGTGTTTGAGATTAGTTTGAAAAGTGAGGATTCTGAGCGGTGCTATTTCGGAACTAGAAGACAATGAGATTTGAGTTGATGGATCTGTGGAAGAACAAATACGAAATGTTTGTCGTTGGAATGAGATAACTCTCATCTGACAGATATGTACACAAAACCAGTCAAAAGGCCAAAAATTGTCGTTTACATTGTGGACAATTTCAATCTGCATTAACAACAGAGAATAATGCTTTCCGTTAGGACTCGCTGGAGCTTTGTAGAAGTGCAAGGGAACACTGCATGGTTCATACACCATAATGGACATAATGTTTTCTTCACTTTCATTCATTTTGAAGAAATTAATTCATGGCTCATTTTGCTAACTATTATTCAACAAAAATCTTCTTGCGTGTCAATGACTGTCTATTGTTTTCTTTATGTGCACATGTCCCGGCTTGTTGTCGCTGAGTCGTTGGACCGACAATACTGACAGTATATGAATAAGCCTTCATTTTCTTGTCTGTGAACAGGGTGTCCCTCGTCAATGTGATATTAATGCTCAAAGAGACTGGTAAATATATCCAAAGCAGTTCACTTACTCATGATCGTGGATAAAAATTGAATGCATGTAATAATTTAAATTGGAAAGAATTAATCAACACCCCTCGCCATCCTGGCATACATAAGGATACACAGTGACGCTACTTTACAAACCACTCTCCGATCTTATGTCATACTCAGCGTGCGCTTCAGTGCTCTACTAACACTTTTACCTCATGGAAGTACCAGATATGTATTGAGACAAAATAGAAAGACGAATGACAAGGCCCACTCTTTTATTGTCTGAGGCTACTTAGAGCCAGATGTGTCACGACACGGTGGAATTAGGCGCTTGTCAGTTTTCCGGCCCATGGAGATATTGTTATTATAATCTTAAAGTTTATTCGTTTACTTTGCTTCAGTGGAAAAATATACTTAAATAGAAATTGCAATATTTGCGATTGATGAAGGTGCGAGCCGCCTCGTGTCAGAGGTATAGTAAGCGAGAAAAAGGCCGCTAAGAATTGTCGAATTCCAAAGTATGAGTGTCCTTGGAAACTGCACATTACAATGATTTGAGCCTTTGATCAACTTTTATTCAGTTACATCAACACAAAAATGTGTTTTAAGTGGACTTATAAGGTGTTGATCGAAAAAGAATCAATAAAATTGATCTATAATCCTGTTTGTACTTTCTACAAAATGGCAGTAAATCTTATGTATCCGGAGCCAGAAAGCCTACTAATAGTATCCTTCTTTTTTATAGTAGAGGGTTTTACGGCGCTCTCAACTGCATAAGGTCATATGAGCGCCAAGGGGTGGGTGTCAACAGAGAAGTCCTTACATGGAATCAGACTTACTCTGCTCATCTCTATAGCTTCAACAGCACAGGGTCTGCTTCGACCATCAAGGCACCCCGGAAATAGCAGGTCACAAGAGTGACAAACAAACAAAAGAAGTAGAGGAAAATGACAATAGGCACAGTTATGAGCGCGACATGATAAATCAGCCCATTTACAATTCTACTGTGCTTGAACGAGAAATGTCCCCCCTTTGGGAATGGCCTAAAGACACTGCAGTCAGTGGCACTGTCCCGGGGGTAGTATCCTTCAACTTGGTAGGTCGTCCTTAATGGCAAAGAAATTTCATTATCACAGCAGCGTTTAAAAAAATATACCACCATAAATAATATTTGAAATATTATTTTAAAAAGAAAACTGCCTGGAGACCCCGCCCGTCCCGTTTCCGGAGTTTGTAAAATAAAGTGTCATATGGTCACAGAACAGATAACGGTTGTTGTGTAGCTTACCCTTACTGTAATACAGCGTTGTTTTCATCGTTTTCTTTTCCTGTTCGTCTGCTGGCTTGACTTCTGACTCTGTCCCCACCGACTCCCCTTGCTTTTGTCTCAGCCGTCTCATAAACTCTTTAATCTTCTCTCGCTTTGCTCCAGTGGACATTTTGTGCATCTTGCTAATACCTGAGTTTTTCAGATAACTATTGCCGAATCCGAGTTTACTCAAAATCTTGGCCTTGAACGCTTCCACTAAAGATTCATAGTCGGGAGACCAGACAATGTAGTCACTTTCGCTTCCGGGGGAGAGGTTAGATTTGATGACTTCATTTTGGCTCCTGTTTGTTACCGGTGTTCTCAGCTGAGGGTACGCTGGGATAGCTTTGGCGTGAGTCACATGACAAACTGGGGCAAGGAAGAGTAGGCAAGGGAGGAGGGCTGAGAGAAGGTGGAAGTACTTTGTCGAGGTTCTTCCTAGGCGAGACTGCATTTTCGTCACGCTTAGATCCTAGCGTAGAGCGTTCTAGTAATATTGGCTCAATGAAGTAGGTGACCACAAAGTCTGTTTTTCGTCTGGTTTTTATGGGTTTCTTATTGTACCTTTACCTTAACAACTGATGTCCAAAGGGTCGGACGTTGTTTTTGAGACCAGAGTATTTTAGAAGAAGCAGTGATGTCGTAGAATTTATAAGCTAAAAATGCATTCATGAGTTTTCACAACTCCAAAAAGTGGAAAGACGTAGATATCCCTGGTCTTGTCGTCTGTTGCTTTTTAGTGTCTTCTGTTGAGAGATCATGAAAAACAATTCCTTACGATACATCAGGTAAAACAAGTTAAAATGTTGTTTCAAAAGCCCTCAAAGCACTGGAGGTAGCTCATTCGAAAGAAACCAAAGGGAAAAAAGGCCAACCCCCACCCCCCCAAAAAAAACTAAACTTACAAGAACAAGGGTATGTTTGACCTAAGAAAAAATGTTTAGACAACAGCGTTCTTTTTGTGCTGAAAAAAACCCCGGGAAAGACAGAAACATAATAAGAATGACAGAAAAGAACAGAAATGGTTACCAACCACGAGATATTTATGAAGCATTCTTTGAGGTGTTTACAAAAATATTGATCTTTTAAGACAAATTGGTACAAGCCATTGTGCAAAAGTTGAAATTTATGTTCGATAGTTTAGGAGATGTTTGACAATAAGGTGCGCCACGGAATTATTGACCGCGTTATAATTGTTTTTAAACCTGATGGGCAACAACAGTAAATCTTTGATGCAATTTGGAGCATCATGCTTTTCTATATGCATGTACTACTTTTTAAAAATTTTAATGACATGTTGGACAATTTTTTATTTTGTTCAAATGTGAAGTTCTGTGAGTATGAACATTTCAATATTACAATTGTGTGTGTGTGTGTGTGTGTGTGTGTGTGTGTGTGTGTGTGTGTGTGTGT